GTGATCAGTGTGATCAATGTGATCAGTGTGATCAATGTGACCAGTGTGATCAATGTGATCAATGTGATCAGTGTGATCAATGTGACCAGTGTGATCAGTGTGAGCAGTGTGAGCAGTGTGACCAATGTGATCAGTGTGATCAATGTGATCAGTGTGATCAATGTGACCAGTGTGATCAATGTGACCAGTGTGAGCAGTGTGACCAGTGTGATCAGTGTGATCAATGTGACCAGTGTGATCAGTGTGACCAGTGTGACCAGTGTGATCAATGTGACCAGTGTGACCAATGTGATCAGTGTGATCAGTGTGATCAATGTGACCAGTGTGAGCAGTGTGACCAGTGTGATCAGTGTGATCAATGTGAGCAGTGTGACCAGTGTGACCAATGTGACCAGTGTGAGCAGTGTGACCAGTGTGATCAGTGTGATCAATGTGACCAGTGTGAGCAGTGTGACCAGTGTGACCAATGTGACCAGTGTGAGCAGTGTGACCAGTGTGATCACTGTGACCAGTGTGAGCAGTGATCAGTGTTACCAGTGTTAGTGGGACCAATGTGATCAGTGTGACCAGTGTGATCAATGTGACCAGTGTTACCAGTGTGATCAATGTGACCAGTGTGAGCAGTGATCAGTGTTACCAGTGTGATCAGTGTGTGATCAGTGTTACCAGTGTGATCAGTGTGATCAGTGTGTGATCAGTGTTACCAGTGTTACCAGTGTGAGCAGTGATCAGTGTGACCAGTGTGAGCAGTGTGATCAGTGTGACCAGTGTTACCAGTGTGACCAGTGACCAGTGTGAGGTGAGTGGGTTTGTCTCCACCTCCGGTTCCGTCTCCAGCTGTGAAGTCTCCTCCTTGGATCATAAAATCTTTGATGACTCGGTGAAACTTTGTCCCCTTGTAGCCGTAGCCTTTCTGCAGAGACGGAGGACAAACTGTCAAAACCACAACTAAACTTGGCTTTTATTTTGAAAAGCCACTGAAAATGTCTTTGTAAACATTTCTAAATGTTTTCAGCAGTTTTTGTGTAAAAATGTCAAAAATAAAAACATTAAATTGATGTTTGTATGAAACAAATCCAACTATGTGAATAACGTCACCTCTCCAGCTGCCAGAGACACAAAGTTATTGACGGTCAGCGGGACGACGTCTCCAAAGAGCCCGATGACGATCCGACCCACCTCGTGACCCGCCACCGTGATGTCAAAGAACACCTGGACACAGGACAGGTACCAGCATCAGCTGCAGGAAGTCACCTTCCATCTTTGAAACCTGTTTGATCTGTTTGACCAAGTGATGAGGCTCACAGCTAGCATCAGCTGTTAGCCTGTACCCCTCTGTCTGCTGCAGGTAAGATACTGACCACACACTCTCCACACAAGACCACAGGTTTGTTACTAAAATGTCTCATGGAAAATTCAAGATGGCCGCCAGAGCTAATCAGTCTAACACAGATTTACTGAATAAAAGTCAAATAAAAAGGTGGTAGTAGCTGAGAGTCGTCCTCTCGTTCCTTCAGATGTTTCAGATTAAAACCTGAAGCTGAAACTGTTTTAACTTTTAAATCTGACAGATTTTATAATCTTTAAATCTGTCAGATTTTATAATCTTTAAATCTGACATTTTTATAACTTTTATATCTGTCAGATTTTATAACTTTTATATCTGTCAGATTTTATAACTTTTAAATCCGACAGATTTAATAATCTTTAAATCTGACATTTTTATAATGTTTAAATCTGTCAGATTTTATAAATGACAGTAAACATTTTATTCGTATCATTTAATAGGATTTCAAAATAAAAGCATGAGATTTTCCTGCTCATCTTCAGTATCAGCAGTTTGTGTGTGTTTGTGTGCACGTGTAGCTGTTCTACATGCCCCCCCCGCATTTCTCACTACACACACCTTTAATTCACCTGCATGTTCGCGTGCACACTACGTTCGTGAGCGCGCGCTCCTGCAGCGTGCACGGCCGCGTGTCGCGCGCAGAGACCCTAACCTAACCTGGTCCTGCAGATAAAACCTTGACCCACCTTCTCGGTGACCTTCGGTCCTCTCCGGGAGAACACGCCGGACACGGGGCGCAGGCAGGCGGCTGAGAGGAGCAGCAGAGCCGGGAGGACCGTCCGGAGCTCCATCCTAAGCTCCGCGGGCAGAGACTGCAGCAGGCCCCGCTGGAAGCACCGCAGCGGCTGGAAACAGAGCCGGAGCTCCGCGACACGTCACTACGTCCCTGTGTGGGCGGGGCCTGAGTTGAAGCCCCGCCCACACACGGAGGACCAAACAGGAAAAAGAGACAAACTGAAGGAAAAATCAACAAAAACAATGAAATGATTTAAAATTATTGTAATAATCGTTTGTTTACATGATTTTTGTACTTTTTAAAATCATTTTAATTCCATATTTGCTGCTGCAGGAGCAGCTTGGTGGAGCTGCTGTCTCTCTGTGAAAGGTTGTCGGGTCAAATCCCAAACATCATGTTATAATACGACCCACACTTGTACCTGTTTGTTATGGATGAGAGGTGAAGGTGTTCCTGCAGGAGGCTCATCGACAACACCTGCTCTGGTTTTACTCCTTCACTAAATCAAATGTTTATTTATTCATTGTTTATGTATTTATTTATTGTTTATGTATTTATTTATTGTTTATGTATTTATTTATTTATTTATTTGTTTATTTGTTTATGTATTTATTTATTTGTTTATGTATTTATTTATGTATTTATTTATTTGTTTATGTATTTGTTTGTTTGTTTGTTTGTTTACTTAGGATGTACAGATAAACTGAGAACATTTGTTTTTTAAGGTTTTCTGAACAAACCCATGATGAAAACCAGAACCACAGGACTGAACAGGTTCTGTTGGTTTCTGACTTTAACACAAGTTAAAGAGTTCAAAGTTTTATATCAGTAATAAACTTTTATTTTATAAACTAATGAGAAGTTATTTAAACAGAATTCCTAAAAGATCAAAACAGGATTTATGATCCAGTTTTGACTTTTCCTTTCTGATTGACAAATAAAAGCTCTTGATCCTGATCAATAATCATCTGCAGCTTGTTTTTAACATGAAGATAAAAATATTTAACCTCACAAAATGTTTTAAAGAAATAAAATCAGCTTCAGCTGCAGAAAGAAAAGTCCCTGAAGAGTTCACGTCACACACACACAGACACACACAGACACACAGACACACACAGACACACAGACACACACACACAGACACACACACACACACACAGTTATCGGCCTCCTGTCACAGCACCACCCGTTCTGCTCCAGATTAATTAAGCAGAAATGTAAACATTTTAATTGAATGTCAGCAGGAGGCTGTTACACACGTGTGTGTGTGTGTGTGTGTCTGTGTGTGTGTGTGTGTGTGTGTGTGTGTGTGTGTGTCTGTGTGTGTGTGTGTGT